GCACAATTAACCTCTTGCCGTCCGCCCGTAGTAGAAAAACGGACGGACGGCACTGCTGCATCACCCCAGCACATTCTGCGCATGTTTGCCACCACCTTGGAGGCGGGGTGCATGACATACGGGTAACGTCATATGCATGCATGGGTGCCACCATCTTGGACGCAGCAAGATGGCAGTGCCCATACAAAACAAATATATGCCAGAATATATTTTTCGAATATTCGTGCATATAATAATTTATTACAGATCTGAACCAGCTGCTGCACCAACAGAATTTCATGATTCAGCAAGTTCGTCCAAATCCACATGTCTACTGTTTGGTTCCATCTATACTACAAAATTTGCCATTTCATTCCATGCACAATTTTGCTAGATATCACTAAATACTATACTGATATCTAAATAAGCATACAAGGATTAAGACAAGTCTGACAACAATGAAACCAGAGGTGGATGTTCAGGCAGTGTAAAAAAACACTGTTCCATCTTCATTTTAACTTCCTTTAGAAATCTCCCAGGATAGAACTTGGAGAATTTTGTAGAAATAAAACACAAGCAAGCTAATGTAACTGCTTCACTGTTGCAGATTTTTTTAAATGGATATTTTCTGTAGTGCTACTTGGAATGTCCATTTATTATATGCATGAATGCTGATTTAGCTCTCTGGTATAGCTACTTCCTTTCCACCAAAAAGCAGCTGTACTTTATTCGGACACAAGAGAGTCAGAATACGGGAAATGTTGCATGTATTTTAGGTACATACGGTACGGCAAAAATGTGGTGACATGCAATGACGTGTGTGTGAGTGCGTGTGCGTGAGTGTGCTTGTTTCTTGAATATTTCAAAGGATAAAAATTCAGAGTTAGTACTTACCGGTAACTCCATTTCCATTAGTCTTCCAGGACAGCATCAGGAGATTCCATCTCCTGATGCTGTCCTGGAAGACGTTATGGGAAAAACAAATGGCAAATTACATTACGATTGAGAGGTATGCCGCAGGTCACACACAGAAGAGTGTATAGATATATTGTATATAATGCGACAAGTTACATAGATGAAACGCACACCGATGGGGAAAGGAAGTTGGCTCACATGGGCTATTCATGGGCAACGCAGTGTGACAGAGGTGAGGACTAGTTCACTCATGCGCAGCAAATCACTGCAGCCATATTAACAGGCAAATCTGGGAAGTTAGGGACGGGACTTAAGTGCATCCAAAACCAAAAATTTAATATATTGCAATTTACCAATCCTTGAGTTCAGCTTCAATATGTTAATATGTCCATCTACATGTTTTAGTTCATCTTCGTCACCCTATCATCCCCACAGGGTGACAAAGCTGCTGCTCCATTGCTCCCCCCTAGAGTAGTTTCCCTAAGACAGGAAGCGGGTCACTGGCCAAATCACAAGGTGAAAATAAGAGGGGGGGGGGGCGGTTTTCCAGATCTTCTGTTACTACTTTCCTATGAAACGATATCTAGTTTCTAGTTTCATAGCAATGCACTGTGAAAGGAACAAAAAGAAATATGGCAGGAAGGCTGTGAGCCACAAAGCTGTTCGTTAGTTAAAACAAACACGTTTAGTTTGAATCACAGCACGTCTCAGGAATGCAGCTTCCTTCTTCACCTCTATCTCCAGCCTGCTCAATAGACATCTTCATAATCACTCTTTATTTTGGTTTCTTTGGGCAGACGGCAAGCTATCCTGAACAATTTAAAAGTGAAGACGGATAAAGAGGGGACAGAGTCAGGTTCACCTCATTACATACATTGAGGAACACAAGCCCTGAGATCTTTAACCCTTTGTTAGGACAGACTCTGTTCAAATCTAGATTACACTGATAATGAGATCTACCTGCATTGCACAGACAGGGTTAGTCAAGCTAAGCATAAACTCCTTAGATAACTCCCTAACATCACATAGGAGAAACATTTTGTTTTAAAAAAAGTTTGCAGAAAAGAGCGTGTAAAAAAAGTCATGAGTAGGGATGTCTCGATACCGGTACTAGCATAGGTATCAGGACCGATACAGGGCACTTTGACAAACACTTGTCAAAATGCCCCGATACATAGCGTCGAAGCTTGCGCTATTCCCCCCCCTTACCTTCCAGCTGCTGTTCGGGAGAGCAGCGGCGAGTCAGCGCTGGTCCGATGGGAGGAGCTCCAAGTGGGGTCCTAATTTAGCTGACAGGTCGACCGGGCAGTCGCCGGCCAGCTAAATTAATGTTTAATCATCCACCCTACCAGTTTTGTGCCCTGCTGTGAGTTTTTCGGCAAGCACGGGTCCTCCCACTGTTTTTCAGGGCAGCATACTACGTAGCTCCAATCCTTTTGAGAGCGCTGTTTGTCCACTCATTCTTTTGCAAATGGAAACACCCAATATAAAAGCAGGTGTTATCCCAGGTTGGCTGCAAATGTGGAAGCGGCACAGTGATCTCAATGACTAGCAGGGGTGTGGCTGGCCAAAATGACAAATCCTTTGGTAATTACAACAGTAGACCAATGCAATGTAACCATGTATTTAGCGCTTTGCCTAAAGTACCACTTTAACATAAAAACATAGCAAAGGCCTCCGAAAATATAGGCACCGGTTATATTTTGTAGCTGCCTGGAATTTCTCCTGCATGGGAATAATCATTCGTCTTGGAAACGCAGCACGAGTTATTTTTGTTAGCCAACAGTCCTACATACAGCTAAATCATGAATACATTAAACATTCTCTTTTAAGATACAGTTGAATGCAAATGTGAAATACAAAAATTCCCACGTACACTCTTCAGCTAGTCAGCACCTGCCTCCAGGTAAGTCTGAACTCAATCTATGCATTGCAATAGACTATGTCCCATAGTTGGGAGCTCTGACAGTTAAGAATTCAGGACCACACCTTACAGGGTCCAGTGGGATATTGGTATTGTATTTACATAACCTCTGCCCAAGTGCACCTTTTTGGCTAGTTTGACATTTGAGAGGCTGCAATTCTTTGTTTGGTAAGCTTTCTGAGCCGAGTAGCTCCAATCAAATGTAGGGTGTATATAGACCTTACGATATCCAACATTAGTGCCCCATCAAAAACCTGGCACTTTCTGGATTAAGGTACAAACAACACGGCCAGATTTGAAGTGCATTTCCGTTCCACTGCATACATGGAACTCTTCCCAACTCCTCATATATGTAGTCCCATTAGCTAGGAGTGAGCCTTGCCATGTGGTGGACAGGCCAAACTCAATGAAAATATTTACTTTCAGAAAGCCAGTACTTGAATAGCAATTTCAAAAGGACTTGTATCTTGAAGGCAAGGGCACATGGTTGAGGGAAATAAAAAATCCTAACTGAATGGCTTTTTAATTGAAGGTAGTGGGGATGCACCAATACCGGTTTTTCAGTATCAAGTACAGATATTTATCTTTCAGTACTCGCCGATACAGAGTACCGATACTGGTACTCGATTGCCCGGGGAAGCCAGCTTCATGCTGATTGGCTGGGAAGTCGGCTTCCCAGCCAAATCAGCATTGAGCCAGCTTCCCGGCTAATCAGGAAGCCGAGCCATTACCTGCCACCCGGCTGCCTGATTGACTGGGAAGCTGGCTCCATGTTCCCTCTGACTGGAAGTTCCAGTATTGGAACATTTGTGAGAGTACGAGTACTCGCCCAAATACCCGGTATCAGCACTAATACCGATATCAGCACCAATACCGATACTAAACGGTATCAGTGCATCCCTAAATACAGGTATTTATATAATGCCGACAATTTTTAGCTTGTAAGCTCTCAACACCAGGGCCCTCCTTAAGATCAAGACTTGATTTGTATTGTAACTGTAATGCCCTCCTTATATTGTAAAGCGCTGCGCAAACTGTAGGCGTTATATAAATCCTGTATAATCATTTTACACACCACTTTACATAGCTGCACATTCACATCAGTCCCTGCCCTTACAGTCTGAGGCTCCTATCTCACATGCATACATACAGGGCCCATTAACCCAAAAGAATGTCTTTGGACTGACGGGAAACCGGAGTACTCGGAGGAAACCTACGCAAGCACTGGGAGGACATGCAAACTGCTTGCAAATAGTGTCTTGACTGGGATTTGAACTGGGGACCCCCAGTACTGCAAAGCACAAATGCTAACCACTACGCACTGGGGTTTTTTACCTCATTAAAAAAAAAAAAAAAAAAGAGATGACTAGTATTGATGTGCTGCATATCAGTGCTGTTGGTCTCCTGCAGACACTTTGTCAATATGTATTTGCCATTGCACCGGTTGCAATGCACTTCTATTAGGTGGATTTCATGATGGTGACAACAGTGGATCACTCTTGCAAAATGTATGTTGAAAGTGCCAGATTTAGACCCCCAATTGGGAGACAGGAAGAGAGTGTTGTCATCCTAAAAAAGGGATTGCCTGAACAAGGACCTTAAATGGTAGGATCACTGGGCATCTGAATGAAACTGCAGATTTAAACATAATTAAAGACCTAGAACAGAACTAAAGCTAATTTTTTTTTAATCAATCGTGTTCTATTAGGAAGAGTTCCCTTTACTTCCTGCCACAACAGCAAGAACAAATCCCTCTAAAGAGAGGGAAATCCCTTGTGGTCAGCCAGGTCACCAGAACTATCCCCTTGTGATGATTTCACATCTATTGCTGTTCTGACAAACCAAAATTTGGGATTTTCTTTTGCTTTTAGTGTCAACAGTCAGCAGCACAAAGAGGGCGGATCTATTGGGGACACAGACTGCAATAAAAACCTGACAGATGTTCTAATCCCTCTCCACACCATCTAAAATCTTAAAATAAATTTTAAAACGTTTTGGCTTCAATTGCACTTTAAAATGACTTTTGAAATTGCATTACCATGTGTTATATACACACCTTATGGTACCTGCTGTATACCCTGTTAGTAAAAAGTGAGTCTGAATGTATAAGGAAGTATGTTTTGTTTTTTTTAAATATACATAATGTCTTTATTCAATACAATTCTAAAACTAAGACACTTACCGTCCCACCTACTATTCTTCCTAATGGATACCATGCTCGCTCGTCAAACCAATTTAAAAATTCATAAAACCCGTGAGATGCTAGATGATGTGTTGATCTGTAGTTGAACCTGCAAAAAAACAAAAAAATAAGTTAAACCTTCAAGACTAAATAAAACCATATTCTCAGTAACATATATGTTATTTACTGAATGAAGACAAATCTATGCAATTGTATACAAAGTGGGAATACAATTCTATTTGCGGTATTCTGCAGTGTAGAATGAACAGCTTAATAACAATCTATGCCCAGTCACTTTCAGGCTTGGCTCAGCATGTGGCCATCCCATGACTGTGATCTTATCCAAAATCAGAATAAATATGTAATTGCTACGGAAGTTTCCAACTACGCTACATTTATACATGAAATACACTGCTCATTTCTCTTGCCGGTTCTTCCACAAGTAGGATCATAAACATAGGTCCAGTGGAATTGGAAAGAAAATACAATTCAACTGGATCCATGCAATGAATTATTGATAGCAGAACTAAAAATAGGTAACATAAGACGAAATGATAAAGGGTCTTAGAAAAATAAACTGTGTAATGTTTACCAAATGTGAAGCTGCTAGCCCCAAAGAGATAAGTTGAGCTCTTAGGCTAAGTTCACACAATATTTTGTTTGCAGGATTTTGCGGTTTTTCAATGCATAGAGATGTCTATGGGACCCAAACCGCGTAGCAACGGCCTGAAAATAGCTCCTTCACCTTCTTGTGCAAAAGCCAATTTCAGCTGTGCAACGCAAAAGGTGTGAACATGCCCCATTGACTTCTATGGGAGTCTGTGTTTTGCAAAGATAAAATCGCCTAGGTGAGAACCTAGACTTAGTGACAAAGTAAACTCCAAATCACAAGGGTGAAGTTTTGAGGATTCTGTGGCTAGTTAAGTGCAACATGCCCAGTAGAGGCATTTTTAGAATAAAAAGCATTTGTCTCATTCCAACATATGCCAAAAATAAGATTATTCTCCATTTTAAAAAGGTAGTGGTCAGAGCCATGCAAATTAATCCTAAAGGTCTTGTTGGTCCTTAAGCCCTACTCCATAGAGGACATTGTTTCCATGCACTGTACAGAGGATGACCAACAGGCCTGCAACAGCTATATGCAGCTCGAAATAAATGGCTCTATATTTCGGCTGTATCTGTACTATACACCGGAGGTTCTGGATGTGCAGTTAGCCATAGGGACAAAAATGATTTGCCTGCCCACTGTCTTTAAAGTGACATGAACCTAACCTAGATGACACTGGAGCGTTGGCTACTTTACAACACACATGGGGAAGAAAAAGTAGCCACCCTCCAGAAGGAAGGACAGTGTCCGCACCAAATCAGAGATTTCTACATCAGAGAATCTACAGCTGAGGGATACACAAATAAGATATTTTTGTTGATAGTCAAGGTAGTTTAATGTATTTTTAAGAGCTATCTCCTGAGTTTATCGTCACTTTAAATGACGAGTAATCCTCTTATTTTTGGGCTTTGTGATGGAATGAATGAAACATTTCTATTCTAAAACGGGCTCTACTGTGCCCCGTATTGGTTCTGTTGGTGGTCTGATTCCTTCAAACTCTTCTCACTATACCCTTCACAGTAATCCCCTATGATTAACCGGCACGCTGTAGTACCGGTCTTAACTTTCAGCCAAAGTTTTAAATGGTTAATTCTAATAACAAGCAAGATAATATTTTCAGTGGTTAAATCAAAACCTGCCGCATCCCACTCAGAGCGGACAATCCTTAAGGCTAAATTTTACTTGCATTAACAAATCATACATTTTCACTTTGCCACGGTCATCATTAGGCCCTATAATGTGCACTGATGCATCAAAAAACAGATTATGTATGTCAACACCTTGCAAAAATGACTCGCCGTGCGTTGACATGTGTTAAAAGCTAATAGGTGTGAATGGGCCTTGAATCCCTTCTGTTTGAATTTTACTAGCCTGCCTGTAGTCCGCATACAGAAAATCATACAGCAGAGGTATAGTTGCAATAGCCAAGGACAAACAGAAAAAACTAAACACCTCCTCCCATTTCCATCTAGAATATGGAGGATAGCAGGTACAACACTTTCACCAGGTTCTCTGCTAGTCCGGATCAATATGATAAATGCTTTTCGGATGCTGACCAGGATCAGATATTGCTTCCGGCAAATACATTCAGACATGTTTTGCAAATTTCATCAAGAACTATGCAATAGGCCATCTGGTTTGCTGCATACATCTATGGCTTCCTCTGTGGTAAGCATTTGCATGCCATGTGAGTCCAGCCAAAATTTATTTTGCTCTTAGACAGAACAAGGGTTATAGCCTCTGTCCGTTTTTTTTTTTTACTCCTAATGAGCAATTTCCCTCACTTTCAATTTGTTACCATAAAAGGAAATCTTACTAATAGGGACAGACAGACAGAATTACATTTTTTGGGGAATGTTAGAACCTGTTGCATATGCCTTCATGTCCCTGCCACAGTTTTAACTTCTTGTCATCAAGAATCAACATCTCATTGCTCCAGCTTGACCATGACATTAGCAAACTAATAGTGCTGCAATGGCAACAGTGATATTACAGTGGTACCTCCGTTCACAAACGCTTCTGTTCGCAAACAATTCGGTTCGCGAACAGGAAGTTCAGCAAAATTTTGCTTCTGTTCACGAACTCCGCATCAGGTGACGAACACAAGCGCAGCCATCTTCCCTGTTCTGACACATGGTCATGCCTTCCTCTAGTCGGGATTGCGGTCTGATAACAGTTTGATTCGGTTCACGACCAGAATCGTGGAACGAATTAAGTTCGTGAACCGAGATACCACTGTACAATGTCACTGCAGTTACAATGACAATGTTTAGGAGTAATGTGTGCCATTAATGTGCCGCAATCTGCATGAACTCTGGCAAATACCAAGTAAGTGGCATCATACGTTTGAACCTGTGGTTAGGACACACGTATGCGTCAGATAGACTGAACTCATTGGAAATGTAAGAATAAGCAAGAAATCTGTTTTTACAGAAATTTCATTATATAAACAACTGTATACTGCAACGTCCCTTTCAGATACCTATGCTAACCCATGATGCAGATATACGAAGTAAGACAGCATAGCTGTAAAATATACCGCTAATGTATTCTATGCTATGATGCTAATTTCTAAGTGAATGCCATAAAACATTTAAAAAAAAAGAGGAGTACAACATTTCCGTATACGTAACCCATTTAGATATAAAGGGCTGATTCAAAACACAGATCATAAAGAAAAAATGTGCGTCAACAGAAAGCAGATTTACAATCTTGCTAGGATAATGCAAATAACAAAACAGAAAATTTGCCATCATAAAGCACCTTACACCAACAGAGGCAGCACCTTAATGAAAGGTCTCACATATCTTAGCAAAACATCAGTTATGACTAGCTACAATTCAGTGACCCTTTAATTATATAGGAGCAAGTTCTGCAGATGGCTAGGAGAATAGAAAGCAGATACCCATTTTATTATCAACACTAATACACAGCAGTTCCCATTAGACCTTTACAAGATAGCGAACCCCCCCCCCCCCCCCCCACCCATTCCTACAGTCAGGGCTGGCGGATCAGAGCGG